TGGTAAATAGAAAGCAAAATCAAATTGTTAGCACTAATTGAATAATTGTAAACAAAACAAATAGTAAACAAATAATCGCGTCGTAATATAAATCATTGCCTTAAAAATGATTTCACGTCGATGTGTAATAGTTGAGATTAACATGATAGTTCCAAATAATCGTACACCCGAAGATCAAAATAGATTAGCGGTGCTATTGCTCTTCTCTTAGCACAGAAAAAATCAAGCTTAGAAAAGCTATAAGAGAAAAAGAGGATTTCTTGAGAAACTCGAGAGAAGTAGAAAAGATTTAGAGAAAACTTTGACTTTGTATGATTTTGAAATGTCACTTAGACTCAGTATTTATAGGCTGCCAGAATCAACAAGTTATTAAACACAGACATCTCTCACGCCTATAAATTAGTAATTAACGACTGTAAACACAGCTAATAAGTCAGCTGTTATAACAGTTGGTTATCTACATCTGACTAGACGAATGAACAGACCAGTAAATCTGTCTAGGTTCAGGAATTAATGTCAGACTGAAAACAGTCTTAGTGGAACATGTTATATATGTTGATATAATTCATCGGCAGATCTCAAATTTGTTTGTTGCTTACCACCTCTGCCAGTGAAGCTATCCGTAAAGCTATCCTTATTTTGTGCGTCAATATTATACCAAAATATCTCTCCATTCTGCCAGAAACTATTTGAGGATCAGATAAACAAATAAGACATTGTACGCAGATCAGAAGAAAACATAGTTACATGAGACAATTTTATGAAATATGGGTCCACGGTGTAAGTTTTGCACCAGAAACTAGTTTTCCGTGTCCTGGTTTCATGGTCGATTGAACTTGGTTGATGGACCACACTGGTGGCCGGAACAGATGTTAGTATTGAAAGAAGTTGAAAATATAGAGTTGGTTAAACTCGGATCCTCTAAAACCAATGTACGAGTGTCCCGTCAACCTAATAACAACGTATAGAAGATATTTCCATATACGAGAAGAAGCTGCCCATCATATATATTTTGAATATTTAGACATTGTTCGAACATGCGGATCAGCGTCGCTTTGGCCGAGTGGTTAAGGCGTGTGCCTGCTAAGTACACGGGATTTTCTCGCGAGAGTTTGAAGCTGTCAGGCGACGCGTCGTTCAGTTTTTTAAAGAAATTTTCAGATTACAAGTTTGGGCCCAGGCTGCCTCACCTATATGCAAAGCACAACTTGCTCAAGCATTGAATACGTACACGTGGATGGCTTTTATAACACTGCAAAAGCCTCCCATCTCTCAACTAGGGAGTGGGTCAACCTCAAACCACCCATTTTTTCCTTTCAATTCCATATTTAATTACTTACCCTTCAATCTTACTTGATAAACTACTCAATCTTACTTGATAAACTATCTATGTATAAGGAATTAAGGATGGGCATGGACCCAAACTTTATGGTTTTCGACTAGACCCGACTTAATCGGGTCAGATTTTTTAAAAATATTTGAGATCGAGTCTGGTCAGGTCGGGATTTTTATAGGTTATATTCGATTCAGGTTCGGATTTAGGATAAAAAATACTTGATCCAATCCGACTCGAAAAAAAATTATAATTTTATCTTATATATTTAAATATAATTACAATAATATTCATCTATATATTGTCTTTTTCAATTAAATATTTATTTCTATTGAATAAAAATAATATTTTTAATAAATATATTATTTCAAGTCGGGTCGGGTTCGGATTTTATCTCAAAAGAATAGATCGGGTCGGATGAAAGGTGCATATTTTTCAGGTCGAGTTCGAGTTAGATGTATAATTTTCGAGTCCGGTCGGATGGGAAAAAAACCGACCCATACCCATCTCTATCTATGTAGTAATCCATTTATTTTTGTTTTAATCATTTAACTATCTCAAAATCATATTTAATGTAATATTTTAATTTTAGTTTTAATATAAAAATAAATGTCTAAACTATACTCAAAATTAAATTTTGGTGCCTAAACTAAATTGTACTCAAAATTAACTTTTGATGCTTAAAGAATTTATCGTTAAAAATATGTGTTTAACATTTTATCCATTACACCTTAGGTGCCTATCATTAAGAAAAATTGTCAAATGAAATGTTTCACATTTATATTTTTATTTTTTTAAATAAAATATTGTTTAATTTTTAAAAAAATTCTGAACATAACATGTGTCAATTAACAATTTTTTAACGGTGGCACATAGAAATATAACGGATAAAACATTAGACATCTATTTTTAACGAAAAATTCTTTAGACACCAAAAATTAATTTTGAGTATAGTTTGAATACTTATTTTACGTTAATTCTTATTTTTATTGTAATGATACATGTAATCACTATATAAGAATATAATCAAAGTAAATTGAAATATTTAGGATAGTGGGAATCAATCTACGACCCTCTTCCAAAAGCATAGCCACTAAGTTAAGCATATTAATTATCATAATTCACAATTTAGAAATTTCAAAAAGTCGTATAATTATTTGAAAAGAAAAATTTTAATTCAACGAACTGTTGTTTGTTTGATATTTTTATTTATTTATTTTCATTTTTATTAAAATTAAAATTAAATAAATATTTATAATTTTTACAAAAAAGTAAATTTATTTAAATTAAATTCGAAATCTAATATGACTTGAGAGTAATGTCCTTAACATTACATGTATGCTTGGTTGATATATATTTCTAAGTACATCAAATAATTTTATTCATTGTATAATTAAAATATAAACCTAATAAACAAACTCTAATTCATTTTCGGATTGCCCTCAACTTGCATCTCTCCACCTATGTTGTGGGAAATTACTGTCTTTGATGAATTGAATATGAAAACGCGTAAAAAAATATAAATTATACCACTGATTGTTTAGTTATTACTCTTTTTTATTCTAATCATTATGATTGAATTTTTGTTAATCATGTCATTTTTCGTTAACATTTAACAATGATATTAATATAACAACTAATAAAATTTATATAATTACACATTTAATCATTCCTATTTAAGTAAATCATAAGTTTATATTAAATCAATATATTTCCATCCAATAATATGACAGCACATGTCACGTGGCACACCCCTATGAAAGGAAAATAAATTGAATATAAGCAACTTTGTGGAGAATTGAACATTGAACCTCATGGAGGAGGACGGCATCAACCACTACTACAATACTGTTCTTGGTTTTATATTTACAACATTTGATATATATAGTTATGAAGGCCAGAAATTAACGTATAAATATATTATAATAAATAACCATAAATGTATTATAATAACGTATGCAGGAGCTTTGGATTGTGCCATGTGATCAAAACAAGGGTCATGAACATGAAGGTGGAGCCCGGCCAGAAGCTGCCGTATGCAAGAGCTTTGGATTGTGCCGTCAAGACGGTGAAGGCTGAAGGACCCATGGCGTTATATAAAGGGTTCATACCCACAATCTCAAGACAGGGACCATTTACGGTGGTGCTTTTTGTTACTCTTGAACAGGTCCGGAAATTGCTCAAGGATTTTTAAGGTATTAAAAGACGATGATGAAAATGAATTTTAGGAACCGTAATGTTGCGAGTTCTGTTATTGTTTTCCAGTTTGACGAAGTTGTCCATTGAATTGTAATTTGTAAGAAAACGGTAATGTCTTATTCTATTAGTGACGTTTTTATCTTGACAATAGTGTAGTGCGCTGTTGGTGGGATGGGAATTGGGATTTTGACCTTCAAGGCAATTGCCTACCACCTTCTCCAAAGTTACAAATGGCCTAATAATAGCAAGTAGATGGTCATTGTCCCGTAGACCCAAATATCAATTAAAATGTAGGTTAAATAGCCTATTTGGTTGTACATATATTATTTAATTTTTATTTTAATTATTATTTTTCAAAAATATATATTTGGTCACGTATCGTAAAAAAAAGTAAGAGTAAAGTATGCAAATGGTTTTCTATAGTGACTATATGGTGATGTTTTATTGAGTCCATCGACTATTAAAATTTATAAAATGTCCTCCAATTATATAGTGTTCTTTTGTTGAGTCTCTTGACTATTAGAAGTTATAAAATGGTCATCTAACTATTCATATGTTTCAAACTCGTCTTTTTTTGTTAAAAGTTGTTTACAATCTGAATTGAACGTTAACATATTGACTGAGATATGATAGTACTTTGAGACTTTGAGATCATATTTTATCATATCACAGTTAGCATGTTAACATCCAACTCAGATTGTCATCATTTTTTTAACGAAAAAAGGATGAATTTGAAACATATAAATAGTTAGGTGATCATTTATATATTTTAATAGTCGGGGGACTCAATAAAGCAATGTTCTATGGTCAAAAGACCATTTTGTAAATTTTAATAGTCAAGAGAGTCAATAAATTGGCATATAACCAAGCGACCATTTATATACTTCACCCATAAATTAATTATGATACTAATGTGCCGCGATAACATATTGTTACGTAAGTATTTAAAAAATTATATAACACAAGGCTTGTTCAAAATAGAACTAAAATGTAACATATTCGAAAAACAATAATAGTTGAGCGATCAAAACAAAAATTAAATAGTAGATGAATGACTAAATAAGTAGTTTACCTTGAAATGTATTTTAGTTTAGGTTAACTATGTGATAAATTTTACATATTGTACAATCGTACTTCATTAAAATGCTAAACATCAACTCTAGAATCATTCGTCTAAGACTAAATTTAAACGATCTTTAGATCGAAGTTGAACCAAATAAAAGAATTAAAGGATACTTTTCATTACTAAGAAATGATCCAGCTAATATTACTAGTAGTTTCTTTTGATTTGCTCTAAATTTTAACGTCATTTATTAAACTCAGAATTTGTGGGAATAATTTTGTAGCATGTGTTTTTCGAAAATCAGTCAAAGTTACAATGGCGTTAAAAGATATGTCTTTTGCCTTTCTTTAGAGTTGGATCAGTATATGGTTATGAATGTAAAGAATATTTATGGTTAAGCTAAAGGCAAACCAAAAGAAAGGTAAGAATTTTGTGGGAATTTGATGGCTGAATGATCACGTTGTCCGAATCCGATACGAAAAAGGTAAGAAGATTCTTATGACACAGAGGCTGAGTTGGGATGTTTCTTCCTCGCTTTCCTTATGAGCCTGTCTCAATAAGTCTGCAAATGCAATGACTGTATCGGTGGGGGAACATTAACCAATCTGCATTTGCGCCCCGCTCAACCCGAAGTTTTCGGACAAAGACAAACTATATTGTATGCATTTTTAGGACTTAAATCTTGGAGAATATGTTGTCGGGAAGATAGTCGTGAACTCGAATACGATAAAAAATACCCCCGTCTCCACTTGTGCTGTTTCTGTTCCCTCTTTTAGCTGTGTCTAATACTATAAGACCGATTTCCGTTTGCTCCACTATATCTGTACAGAAGAATCAAAACCAAGATTATCCTACTTCTCTTCATTTACAAAATCCTGGCAAACATCGAACGAACTTCCATCACAGATGGAGGTGGCTTCAAATCTTTTTCCTGTAGTGCATTTCCATGCAACTTCTGCATTTGTGCCCCAAAGATTTCATCCAATACCTGCAGTTTAGTGGCTGCCACTATGAATAACATGTAAAACTACAAATGGAAACGTTCGAGTCACTAGCACAAAATCCAAAGGAGATGGATGGAGAGTTCATCCGACCGATTCAATTTTATATCGGAACGTTCATTATCAAAGAAAGACTTACCGAAATTGCAATCCTTAGGGCCTTATACCAGGACATGTTCTCTCTTCGGTTTTCCATGAAGTGTAGAACGTCCTGTGAAAAATACAGCACGGTATTATAAACAGGTTCCATGGTTTTAGGTTAAGGTATATGAAGATATTTGCTAGTTGTACCTGTCCCATCCGGTCCCAAAAATTCCGACAGACGGTTACAAACACATGAGATTCAAACACAGAATGGAGGTTCTCTATCATATTTATCAGAAGATCCTTCAAAGGCTGCAATCGGTTTCTTACATCGGACTCGACAGCAATTTCCTTCGAGTCCTGGATTATCTTCTTCAATCTCGTAGCAGTTTGAACTCTTGTCTGTCAAAAACAAAGAAATAAAAGAACATAAGAATTTATTTGGCAAAATCTCATCATCATGAGGGGATATACTATTAAAGAAATGAGTTGAAATCACAGATGGAAGAAGGCTCATAAGAATGATATTAAAATCAACAATGGCATTCTTTGTGTTCTAGAGGAGGCTTACGCACATTCTCGGCAAGTTTCTCAACAATTGCTTGAATATGGTTTCTGAATTCAGCCCTCAGCATAACTGTAATTTCACCGATACGCTCTCCAGGAATTGAGTTTCCACCTGTTGGAGTGCAAGGACACCACAACTTCAGCCGGGATTCGATCTTGGGATGCAGTACAAAAAGCATCCTTTTCATGGAATTCAAAAGAACTCCCAACTGAAACATTAATCATCTTTCTTTAGTTGTAGGAGATAAAACGGAACTGATCAGCAAAACATGTAAACAAAACTTTACCTCGTGAGGAACAATGTAGATGACAGGTGTTCCTTTGGTTAATTTCTGAACATATTTTCCAATTATCTTAGGAGCAAGGCCGGCCTTCAGTGGAGCTAGAACATTGGCATTCTGCCGCTCTAAAGATTTAATAATTGCTCTTTCAACATCTGCAATAGCCTTTTTACAGCCACAAGTACCAAAGAAATTAACATGTTCATTTAGAATAACACAAAATAAAACATAAACAAGAAGCATATTATGCGTGAAGTTAACATGACTGTCGGACTGAAGCCTGAAGTTAAGGCTCAACAAGATCAAAGCTACCAAGTTCCCCTGAAAACTGGTACCGGTCATGCAACAATTTTACGAGTTATTTTGTAGTTTCAGGTTCACTTAATGAAATATTCCTGCCTTCCAATATTCCATAATGTTTACAGCAGTAGCAATACATAATAAAGAGATAATATTGCATCCATCAAATCCAAGTTACAAAAAACATAAATTATCGTTACTTTTGAGTTATTTTGAATTCTATAAGTCATCTCAGGGCTCCATAAATCTTAAATCTGTAAGTAAAGTTAATACAGGGAAGAACAACAAACATTTTCCAAGATGATGGTGAACTCCGGCCAGTGAGAAATGATAATTTCATATTCATTCAATGCTTCTGTTAGCCGATCGTACATACCATCAACAAAAGGAGTTGTTGATTGTTGTGTTTTAATATCAGAACATACCTGCAATCAATTTCAAGAAAATTGTCAGTTGAGGAGGGAACAAAAATACCTTTACGATCAATTTTAATAACTCATTAAGTCATTAACCCTTGACAGTTCTCTGGTCTAGGCAGTTTGCGCACACACACATATATACATAGAAAGAGAGAGAGAGAGAGAGCAGTGGCAAAACTCAACATTATTTTTTGAGGGGGGCATTTAAAAATATCTAAATTTATGAAGGGCAACAATGGATCCTTCACACACACACACACATATATATATATGTATATTTAACCTATCAGGATAAAATATGATGATCCCAAATTATATATTCCAAGCAAGACTGACTGTGGTTTTCTCCAATGTCATTTAAGGCTAAGCAAGTTAAATAGTAAAGGATGCACAAGTGTCCAAAAACTACTTAGTCAAACAATGAATAAGTCAGAAAAACAGAACCAACTCTATCTGACCTTTCCTAGATACGACATTTTCACACGAACTTGATAATGCAGTCACACAGGTCTGCAATATAAAATCTGTACCTTATCGAGTTTGCATGAATCAAGTAAAGAATGGTGTTTCTCTTCAATCCAAGATGTTATATAAGACTGAAACAGCACTTTTGCCTCAATTCCCTCCTTTATAGGTCTGCAAAATGTTAAAAGATCAGAGAAGAATGGAAAACAACAGAAAGTAATTTTCAAACCATATAAATTACAGATTAGAACAAGCTTATATAATCTATAAAGGAGCTAAAAGAAGTAAAACTTTTACTTAATATTCCAGGAAGACAGGTCCCTTTGAAAGTCTGCTGTTGCAATAACCAGTTCTATTACAGGAGGAGAAGGGCCAGGAGGGGGGCATGCAACAAGAAATGCACGCAACCTACTGCAGAGGTCCACACTGTATATAGGTGCAGAAAGATTCGGAAGGTCTATAAAACTGCAAAACATAGAAGATGGAGCAGCAACAGAAATTAGTACCGAAGAATTAATCAGTCAAACAGCAAAGCCAGAAGACATAGTAAATTACTACATATAGAAACATTTACAGTTGTAATAGATAACAAGTGGGAGGGGACAAAAAAAAACACTTGTTTCAAATACAATAAATTATTTTTGCATGCTTTGATCTTCTGAAATAAGAGAAAATCACCTAGGAAGTATATTCCACTCGTGGATCTCAATATCAGTGAAAATTTCTTTCTTGATACTCAAAATTAAAGTTTTCATCTTCTGATAAGACATTGAAAGAGTCGTTGGATCCATTAATGCACTGTCATTATTGCTCGAAATGAACTCATCTGTCTGGTGCCTTGATCTCTTTTTTGCAGCAACCTGCAAGGTTATTGCAGATTCATTGAGGGAACAAACAGGAAAGGAAAATATAAAACCATGACTATGAAGAAACAAGTCACTTATACCTGAAAATATCCACAGAACTTCTGTTGTATCTCCGGAGTTAATACATCATGTAATAGGATATAGAGCTTGATGGCAGGGACCAATGCAGGAGCAGGTGCTCCAGTGGCAGCCTTAAAAACACTCATCATCCCTGATGGTGATGATTCGTCTAAGGACTTGTAATTCTCAAAGATCACATTTAAAATATGCTGGATCTGATCCTCAACTTCTCCAAGGATACGGTTCTGATTGATGTTAAAGCATTATATTCGTATGAGGAAAGAGTTTGTAAATATTCATACATTTTTCCTGAACACGTATTACATACAAATGTAAGAATGATGCATCAAAATGACAATGGGGAAGTGGCACATTTTAACTAAATCAAAATTAAGATGGAAATTCAAAAAATATATTGCCAGTAACTTGTACCTTGAATCAGAAGATCCAAACTAACAAGAATTGAAAAGGTTAGATGAATTAAACTTAAGAAACATGATTGACAATTCTGTTTCTGAGTTGATACAAATGACCAGTCATTTTCAATATATCATACGTGCATGACACTGGAAACAAACAAAGAGAGTTTAAATTATAAAATAATTTGGCTTGAATAGCGATACCTCTTGGTGACTTAATTTGTGCTTGTTATTGCCCTTCACTGGAGATAGTAAATCATGTATTACTGTAAGGCAGTCTTCAGTTGGTGTAGCCACATCCATAACATAAGAAAGGAATCTGCAGCCAAAAAGAAAATCAAACAAAAGAAAGAAATTTAAACTCCTAATTATGAAAACATCAACTACCTTCTATTGCATCTCCATACCTTAGTTTGGTATATGCATCTGATACTCCATAGTATGATGCAAATTCATTTACCAACCACTTCCAAGGGCCATGTAGCAACAAATTTCTTTGCTGAAAGTGCTGAATTTTCATTGCAACTTCCAACAAAAAATCATATGCCACAGTTTCCGCAACAGAACCACACTGAAGAGGACAAGAAAATTTTAGTCTCACTTTTTAGTATAGTTGCTATTTCTGTTTGCGTGCTGTAATTCAAACAGTTAAAATGGTAGATAATGGTAAAGGAAAATGATTTTTTAAAAGAAAAAAACCCTTAAGTAGGGTCATTGTAAAATTTTCTGGACAAGTACATTCGCATATACCTTAGGATTATTCTCCTCTTGACTGGTTGAATAGTGTATATACAGTTGAATTCTGCCAACGAGCTCATGTTCTGGCTCATGATATAATGGCCACCATCGAAGCTTGTCACCCTGCATAACCAATGTTGTAAACTTTCAGCCTAAACATCTGCCCTTTTACCTTACGACTTAAAGACTAGGTATTATTAAAAAAACCCTTACAGGGTCATCAGCAACAGAAACCACTTGTGCTAGGACATGGCCACAATACTGCCCCTTGGAGTCGTGAACTTTGACAATCAAATCATCACCAAGACCATCAGGTAAGCTGTGTAGAAAAATGTCAGGAAAGAAAATTTTCCACAGGGTATGGAGCAAGGATAAGGAAGGATAAAAAAGATAAGATAGCGAACATGTGAGATAAGTGAAGCAAAGGGATAGGAAAAGATGCATAAGGGGTAAGAGGAGCTACATACAACACATGAGTTTCGTTCGATCCTGGTTGCATTTTGATCACATCATCCTCAGATGAACTTTTCAATTTCAGCAAGCAACAATATGTTTCTGAGAAATAAATCACAACCTAGTGTTAGACAGCGCAAAAAGTGTACAAATCAATCCATCAAAAGAACATATACATGCTAAGAGCACCCTATTTTCTGATCCCAGTCATCATGATCAACAAAAACAATAAATGCCTAAGCCTTTTTTACATTATTTCTGGTGGGTGGTGAAATATATTGCACAAACAGTGCTCTATTTAGGATCACATCCCCTTGCTATGAACATTTAAGCCAAGGTCTAATTTGGCATATATTCATAGAACTAATTTCTTTCAGTTAACCAAAAACAAAGTAATTTCTCTTTGGTCTTATTATTCTTAACCAGCGGGAATACAAAATACAAACTTAGCCTGATAACAAGTAGTCCAAGAAAGCACTCTCTCCTTGTTAAAATTCCTTCAAATATTGTTTTTCTTACTTGGTAGAATAGGATGAAGCTAACACCTATCCCCTTGTGAACACCTATTTGGAAAAAATAAGAGTGCTGACCATAATTTAAATTATCATATAATTAAGAACAGTTCCATTTTGCATCCCCATCCAAAATCAAATGGAGGGAAATGGTAGTCACCTAAATATTCACAGTGGAAGGTTAAAACTATTACAAGTGTGGCATTTTGTGCCCTTCAACTCACGTGTCTCATAAAAGTTTCTTACAGGTGTAGTTGATAGCAGCTTTTGATATACCTAAGTAGCATTTCCCCAGGTCAAATCATTTCTTAGAAATCAACTAATTAGTCCTTGATAGTGCCAAAGATTCATATATTTGGTTCCAATTACAACCAAACAATTGTTTAGATCATTAAAAGAGACAAGTTTGACATGGCTTCATAGATCACAACAGTATTTACTGAATTTATGGAGTGATTAATGACATACCACACAAATTTTAGGTGGCAAGGAGAGAATCAACACATACAAAGAGAAGCATCGTGACCCAGTAAAGGATGTTGAAACCAATGGACAAGGTGAAAAAGGATATGGAAATTTCCCATATAGTTTAGGTATTTCTTTGTATTTTCTATTAATGATTTAATTTCGCACCCCTGAAATTTCTAATATAACTTCCTAAAAGTCCACAGCTCTAGCATAAAATCATGTGTCCGTCCCTCATCATGTTCAAGAGTAATGATACCCTAACTACAAAATTTCTAACCAGGTTTAAGTATTTGATTCATCACAGCAGACTTCTAAATTTTCATATAACTAAAAGGGGTTTAAATACCTGGATTTACATCATATGATGTCGAATTGCTGTGCAAAGTGGTCACTCCAGTTTTCAATAGCTTGGATACCTCTTTTATATACTGGCGGCTTGCCTTCAGATAGGCTAAGCTTTGCTTTGAAAGAGATACATTTGCAGGAGTATTGGGAGTCACTCGAACATTCCGAAGAGCTTCCCATCCAGAAAACAACATTGAGTTCATTTTGCAGAAACGTTGATGAAGGGATTCCATCTTCATTAGTGACAGATTGCAGCCAGGAGGAGGGTCTAAACCCATTTTGACTTTACGCACTGTCCAACAGAAAGAAGATATACGTGTAGGCTTAACATGAAAATTTATGACTTGGTGATTTTCCTTTCCGGGAACATGACAGTACCTTGCACTTTCATTTTGCCAATGAATCTCTTCGATTTAGTAGCAGCTGCCTCACTAACTAACTCAGAAGACTGTTTTGCCAATAGCTCTTCTTCGGGTTGCAATAGTACATTCTGTAAACTACAAATAAAATGTGAGTTAGAGATATGTAATTCAAAGCATGAAGGAAAGTACAGAGTTTCACAACATGCAGTAACAAGCCCGACATAAATCAACATTATGAAAGTATCATGTAAATGGACCACATAACCAACTATAGAAAAGAAAGCTTAAATCTTACATTCACAGATGCACAAAGGTAGGCATGCATGGACAAAGGAATCACTGCAAGAAAAATTTTAATCACCCAAGGCATTAGAGCTAAGATTAATCACCATCTTCTAGTGAGCTTAAGAGAAGCTAGCCATTGCAAAGTATAGTGATCTGGTTAATGATGCATTTAATCTGACTGCAAATATTTAGTATGTTCTAAAATGGTTCTTTATTAAATGAAATTACAACACAGACATAGCAACAGCTTCTACGTAAGTCACCGGCAACCATGACTTATGATCCAATGGTTAGGTTGGACGATAAATATTTTTACAGGATCAAATCACCTCAATGATTCTTTGATAGACATCAATGAAAACTAACCCTATTGCATAGGTTTCCGGTGAACAGTCATGGAAGGCAAGGAACTAAGCAAAGCAACTCTATGACATGGTCAGTTTGTCCAAAGTTCCACTTCTGTCCATCCTTATTTCTGACCTCATATTGCCGAATTTGGGCAACATTTCATACTTTTATCGGAATATAAAGTTATAGGGATTTCATTATTAGAATAGTTCCATTCAACAAATCTTAAGTTGGATTTCAGAGTTAAACTGGTGTTCTGACCACATATTGACCTTAAACAGGCAATGTATAACTGCAAAATCATGAAACTAAAGAAACAAAAAGGGAATACTAGCACTCACCCAAATGCCTTCCGCAACTCTGAACATTCTTGATTCAAGAAGTACGGAGCCTCTTCGGTGCAACCTTTGGCCCATGAATTTAAGCATAAACGAACACATGCATCATAAGACAGAACTGCAACCCATGGACCAAGCCCACTGAAACATTTTAATCAATGCAGTCAGTTGTCTCCGACTTTATGAAGGTAAAATGCCTAAACCAAGGAAACCCATGCTTAGCTTAGGAATTGTCTAACCTTGCATGAAATATAGGGAGACGTATAGGCAAATTATTAGTAGATTCATTGGCTCCTCCATGTCCCCCAACCCTGTAATACATTATTGTTCCATCAAAGTGCATTGATGACGACATCAAGGAACTTAGGCTCAGAGATTCAGACATACGAACCTAACTGATTGGTCGAGGATCTCATCCCTGTTGTTATCCAGAATAACGGTATCACTGTGAGAAGGTTCTGTCGTTTGCATTTTTCCAGTATGAAAGCCCTACATGTACATAAATAGTTTGAGTATGACAAATGGCACAACGTTCTCGATTAACAATGAATTTAAGTTTTATAATCACAAAGGTCTCACATTTCAATCTTATAAAGTCCAGATTGAATATGCAGGTTAAAGAATACCTCCTAATGAATCCATTTAGACATCTCCAATCCCATAACCGATCGAACAATTAGAAAATTCAAAAAGGTAAACATTTTTAGGATGTGAAACATGAAACCCTGGATATCCTACCCATTGGCAATGGTGATATCACTCAATGGATTTTGCACATACAAAAAGCTAAAATCCTAAATTTAAATAAGCACAGCCAAAAAATCAGGAAAAAGAATTACCAAGTGCCCAGTAATTTTCTACTTTAAAGCTTCAGGGGCATAATTTAAGCAACTTAATAAAAAATTACCAAAAAATAACACTAAAAGAGAAACTTCATGAGTAAAGAAAATTCTTAGAGAAGTAAGGACATTTTAACACCTAGTTTCAACAGAATGCTTGAATAGTTTCGGCATCACAAGACACTGATCCTCAGAAACCAAAAAAGCTTTTGCATCCAGAAAGATCATTGCAATGCCTACCCCAGAAGTAACTATAGAAGAATCTGAATTCTATGCCTGTCAATGAGATGCAATAGCATTGTTGCTTATATACTGCATAAACCTAAATTCGGTGCTACTGGCATAAGGCCCCTTAATACAAGTTTAAAACATTAAGATCAGACCCAGCCAGCACCTCGGGCTACATTATAAAGTAAAAACTTTAGTAGACATTAACATCAGGAATCAATGAAAGTTCTATATTCAAATTATAAAAAAAATGTTTGCAACATACCTAAACAGATGCATAAACATATGAATTTATACAGATAACCAAATGAAATGACTACGTGACGATCCCATCTTAACCCATCCTTGGCAAGAGCTTGGGTGAACATTGTACAATTTATTCTGCTGAAAACTAAAATCAAAACCCTGAAAGAGAAGTTAACACCCAAATTAAAATTTGGAGAACTAATAAGCGAAGGTCCATAAGCAAAAACTAACAAACTAAATCAATTAATAAAAGAAAATAGCTAATACTGACGTTGTTTGGTTTCTCGCCTTTCTAGTCAGTCAGTGTGATAAAAAAAGTCCAATACTTTACCCACAAAAATGCAAACTACACAAAAACTGAATCATTAATATGATGGATTATTGTTTTTGGTACATTGAAAAGATAATCTATGAAAAAGATGGAAAGATAGATATACGTTTTTAATTTTATTTTACTGTATTTACCAAAGAGATTATGGGAATTCAGTTCAACTTCACATGCCAAGCACTGATCAGAGTATAACAAATCAATTACTGAAACCCCATTTGCTTTAATGATCAACCCACTTAAAGGGTATAACTAAAACTGGATAACAAACGAAAATGCCGCCGGCCAAAGGAGACTTTGAGGAAGAAGAGATGGAGGAAATTCTGACACAAAGTGTGAAAAGAGACAGTGAGAGAATAAAAAGAGGAAAAACAAAATCTTGTTTGGTTTTGAACTGCTGCTACAGACACATTTTTTCTCAGCTTCGTAAAAATTCATTAAAGACTACAGATTCTTTTTAAAAAGGAATAAATGTTTCAACTTTGAAGCGAAATTTAGGGAGAGTAATCAAGTAACGTGGAGAGGTGAGAGTGTCATGATGGAAACTGAGTTAGGGTTGAAAAAGGGAGATTTGGGAATGAAATTGAATCAATTAGGGATTGCAGAGGATTTGGGAATTTGGAACGGGAAGAAGAGTGAAATTGGGAGAATTGGAAGTAAAAATGAAGAAGTTACTGTCGGGGCTAAAGTGGATGAAGTAAAGGGGTTACCTGATGGAAATAACGGGCCAGGATGATTGGGCTCCAGTATTATCCTTTATGGAATCAGCCTGCATGAGTCAGCATATCAATTTGTTATCTTTGTTAGATTTATAGTACATGCCAGCTGTAAGGTACTTGTGCATATAATATTGTACCTGATTCTATGGAATCATGCTGAATGAATGAATGACAAGTTTCTTCTGAATCCTTTTCTAATTCTCTTCTGAAATCCCCAAAATTCACCCCTAATTCATAACAAATTGGTAATCAGAGCTAAGTTTTTGTGATCCAAAACCATTTTTCACGCTGGGAAAGACAAGAAAAATGCAGAAAACTGGAACCAGTGAGGTACCAGAACAAACCACGGAGGTCAAAGAGGATACTTTACCATCGTGGTGGAATGAGCAGAAAGCCGAGTTGGAAGGAAGATTACAAACCTTAGAGGAAGGAATGACGGAAAACAGAGGGTATTTACAGAGGATCTTACAGCTGGTCAATCAAGCAGCTGAGGATAAAGATTCACCTCAGTCAGTGAAGAATCAAGCCACAGCAGCTGAAAAACATAACCAAAATGGAGGTAAGCAACCATGCTTGATTAAGGTTCTTAGTGAGCATGAGAAGTATACTTTTCAACCTAATAAACCGGGGATATTAGCTTCTAAACCTGTGGGGTTTACTGGTCCTATACCTTTTAATCAGAAACTGCAAGAAGAAAATATTATGGGCAGTTCTAGTGAGGTGAAAGTGGACAGTAAGGGTTTGTCTGGGAGTTCAGGGCATGTTTTACCTCGACCCAAATTAGAACTACAGATGTTTGATGGCAGTAATCCCAGAGGATGGGTTAGAAAATGCCAGAAATATTTTAATCTTTTGGGAGTTCCCGAGGAGCAGAAATTAGATGTGGTTGCAATGTATTTAATGGGAAAGGCTGAGACTTGGTTTGATGGCTCTATTATGCAGAAGCATAGAGTGACTTGGCATGAATTTGAGGCAGACTTGTGCCATAGGTTCTGTGACAGAAATTATTCAGACATTATTGAAGAGTTTAACAAGTTAATGCAGAAAGGAAGTGTGGAAGAATACCAAGAAAGTTTTGAGGAGCTGAAACCTTATTTGCTACAACAGAATATGCATTTGGGGGAAGCTTATTTTGTTTCCAGCTTTATTAGTGGCCTCAAGGAAGACCTTAAGCACAAGGTTAAGGTGTTAGAGCCTAAAACTCTATCTGATGCATATAGGCAGGCCAAACTTTATGAGTTGGCAAGTGAGATTGAGACAAAAAAGTATAAAGTTCATACAAGAAATTTTGCTTACATACCTCAGAATACTCAGCCAAAGAACTTGAACTCTGGTGTGTTAACTAAAACAAGTTCCCTGAATACTAATGCTAAGCAAAGTTTGCTGGAGTACAGGAGGTCTAATAATTTATGCTTCAAATGTGGGGAGAAGTTTTCCCCTGGATATCAATGCAAGGTCAGACAACTAAACTGCATGGAAGAAGAAGAAGAGTCGGCTGGAATTGAAAAGATTGAAGAAGAATCTGAAGAAAAGGAAGAAGCAGAGAAGGAAGCTCTGGAAATATCCATTAATGCCATCACAGGAAATGTGGGTCACACTACTCTGAGAATAGAAGGGTTTATCAGGGGAAAACCAGTGAATATACTGATAGACAGTGGAAGCACTCATAGTTTTGTAACTCCTAAATGGGCTAAGGAGGGAGTGGAGTTGGTAAATACTCCACCTTTAGTAATTACAGTAGCCAATGGAGAGAAACTGTACATCAATGCTAGGAGTAATAAGGTGAGCTGGAGAATGCAAGGATATGAATTCCAACATGATTTTAGAGTTCTGTCCTTAGGAGGCAGTGACATGGTGCTTGGTGTGGATTGGATGGAGGAATTCAGTCCCATTTTGATGGACTTTAAGTCCAGAACTATCAGTTTTGTGAAAGAAGGAAAAACTGTTGTTATTAAGGGAACTCAGAAATTACCCCTACTCAGAGCCATCACAGGGGAGAAATTTCAAAATTAGCAGAAAAGGATACTGAATTGAGTGGGGAAATTTTTTGGTTGAGTGCAGAAGCTACTGAAAGTAAAACTCCTACAGCACTTCAGAAATTACTAGAAGAATTTCAGGAAATTTTTGAAGAACCTAAAGGAATGCCTCCAAGAAGGAAACATGATCATGCTATTGTCCTAAAACAAGATATACAGCCAGTAAATCTAAGGCCCTACAGATTTACACACTCCTATAAGACTGAAGTAGAGAAACAGATTGCTGAAATGCTAACAGCTTCTATCATTCAAGTTAGTCAAAGCCCTTTTGCTTCTCTTTGCCTGTTAATCAAGAAGAAGGATGGAACTTGGAGATTCTGTGTAGATTACAGACAGCTTAATTCTGCTACCATAAAAAATAAATTCCCTATTCCTATAGTGGAGGATTTACTAGATGAACTTAATGGAGCTGCATTCTTCTCGAAAATTGATCTAAGGTCTGGATATTGGCAAATCAGAATCAAGGAAGAAGACATTCACAAGACTGCTTTCAGAACTCACCAAGGACATTATGAGTTTAAGGTAATGCCCTTTGGGCTTACTAATGCCCCAGCTACTTTTCAAGCACTGATGAATGATTTATTTGGGGAATATTTAAGAAAATTTGTTCTAGTGTTTTTTGATGATATTTTAGTTTACAGCTCTAGCTTAACAGAACATGAACAGCATTTAAGAATTGTTTTAAGGATTCTGCTGGTAAACAAGTTATATGCTAAAAGGAGCAAATGTTTTTTGGTCAACAACAAGTAGAGTATTTGGGGCATGTGATTTCAGCACAGGGAGTGGCTACTGATCCTGCTAAGATTGGAGCTATGCAGAATTGGCCTTTACCTAAGAATTTGAAAGCTCTGAGAGGGTTCTTAGGTTTAACAGGTTACTACAGAAAGTTCATTAAAGGATATGGCGAACTGAGCAAACCTTTGACTAATATGCTCAAGAAAGAGGGCTTTTATTGGACTCAGGAAGCAATGGTAGCATTTGAGAAACTGAAACAAGTTATGTGTAAAGCACCAGTGCTGGCTTTACCTAATTTTGAGCATAAATTTTTTTTGGAAACAGATGCTAGCTCAAAAGGCATTGGAGCAGTACTATCTCATGATGGAAGGCCTATAGCTTATCTCAGTAAGGCTCTTGGACCAAAACATGCAGACCTATCAATCTATGAAAAGGAATATCTAGCCATTTTAATGGCAGTTTCCCACTGGAGACACTATTTAGAAAGTGGATCATTTGTTATCAAGACAGATCATGAGCCCCTCAAACATTTACTGGAGCAGAAACTAACGACAGTAATTCAGAAAAGGGACTTACTAAGTTGTTGGGGCTGGATTATACAATCCAGTATAGAAAAGGCAAGCATAATAAAGTGGCAGATGCTCTTTCTAGACAACAAGCAGATTCTGGAGAATTTTTACAAATGGGCATAACAGTTATTACTCCTACTTGGATTCAGGACATTCAACAGAGTTATGAGGAGGATGAAATTGCACATAAGAAACTACCTATTTTGGTTCTTCAATCAGATGCTATAGAAGACTGGAAGTTGGTTCAAGGGGTTTTGTATTTTAAAGATAAAGTATATGTGGGCAGCAAAGGGGATCTAAGAGAAAAGATTATTCGGGCTTTGCATGATTCAGCACTAGGAGGACATTCCGGCATTCAAGCTACATATCAAAGAATCAAGTCCTATTTTTTCTGGCCTAAAATGAAAACTATGATACAACAGCATGTGCAAGAATGTGAAGTTTGTCAACGGACGAAAATTGAACACATTGCTAAACCAGGGTTGTTACAGCCTATTCCAGTCCCAAACAATGTTTGGGAAGTCATTACCATGGATTTTATTGAAGGTTTACCAGCTTCTATGAAACACACATGCATCCTAGTGGTGATTGATAAGTTTACAAAGTATGCTCACTTCTTACCCTTATCTCACCCATTTACAGTGGTAGAAGTTGCCAGATTATACTTAGACCAAGTTTACAAATTACATGGTCCCCCTAAGGTTGCTATCTCAGATAGAGACAAAATTTTCACCATTTTATTTTGGCAGGAGTTATTGAAACA